CCAATAATATTAATGAGTATATGAATGCTCCTACTTTGCACATTTTTAAGATCATTAATTTTGGGATATTTTTAAAAGTTATCCTTCTTAGGAAACTTGGTAGCTGGAAATTCGAGGATTTCATATAAGTGAATTTCGAGAAATTTGGAATTTATATATTAGGTGAGACGGTTTGGAAAAAATGTGAAAATTAAGGGTATTCAAAATTTGAGACACAGACAACTTATCAAATATAAAAATTTATTAACGCAGAAATTTATTGTTCAAAAACATCATAATCAGACGACTCAGAAAATTAAAGAACAAGAAAAATTTGTCCACATAAAAACTCTCTAACCCTCCCACCCCTTTAAAAGCTCCCTAATATCAAGAACTGAGAAATGTAAAGTCTAAAAGTTCCAAAAGACCAAAAATAAAAATAAAACTTGAGTTCCCGTAGATTTCGACATAGAAAAAAAAGAGGGAACAGTAATTGTCGGTAATGGCGGGGGTAGGTGATGACCGCGTCGTTTCCGTTCGAGTTCACAGTGAAAAGAGACGGTCCGAATGAAACGATGTATCCTCTCGCACGGAGGATAACGCGGAATGAATGCTCGTCGAACAAACGACGTTAAGTTTCGCGTGTAACAAATTAGGCCACGCGTACATTCTATGCGCAGCAACAGATAGAGAAAGTTTCGCGATGACAAAGGATTGCGGCTGTCCATTGTTCCATGGTTGCGTTACGTTCGATTCAATTTTATTGCACTTTCTGTGCTTACTATTTTTCAATTTGATTCGAATAAACTTTGAAGTGGTTCGAGCTTTACAGTGATACGCTTGCTTGTTCGAATTCTTGGCATGTTTAGTTTGCTTTTTAACACAATAATATATTCTTCAATTAACTTTGCGCTCGAAGGTAATTTGACTATTTATTTATTATGGCAACTTTAAAACTTGTTAGTTAAAAAATTAAATTAATTGTTTTGAGGTTATTTCTGTAGTAATAATATTTTCTGTTTCACTATGTTTCTACATCACACGTGTCATATTATGGAATCAGTAAAAGAATGCTTATTTCATATTAGTGTATTAAACAAAATGGCGACTGAGTCACCTCTCTTAATTCTTTAATAACATTGCGAATCTTTTAATTTTCTATTTGTTTGCAAGTGTCGACTTAATTTGTAATCCTTCATGGAATGAAAATTTGCAAAACCAGATTTGGAACAACGAAAGTTTAGTGTTGGATGGGGTTCGTGCAGGTTAAGAATACACGAAATAAACTGTTCTTAATTAAACACATTTATTGAATCTTTAATCGCATAGATACATATCGTCCCGTCGTCCAGCGCGTGACGAATATATATTTGTATTTATATATTTTTTTTATACATTATATATGTACGTTTATATACTTTTATATTTATACTCACATAACAGAGACTCACACGTTCGCGAGGAGGAGAGAAACTGTCGTTGCTGAAAACGTGCTAATCGAGATGGCATCTCATATTTTTAATTCCTTAATTTTTGTAATAAATTTCGCTATGAAGTTCTTTGTTAATGAAACTTGATATCTTGTTAAATTATTCTTTCAGTAATGGCTCCATGACGAATCGATATAATGTATCGTTCTATAGTGTATATACATGTTATCTGTAATGAAATCGTTACAAGAGATAATTAATTTCGCCAATTACTTCGCAGAATTATAACAACCTTGCATTTCGTGGTAGTTTCAAATAACCCACAGCGGAAGGGTTGAAGAGGAAAATTAATTTTACTAATAATTTCGCGAAATTACAACAGTGTTTTTCACAGCTGGTTCTCGTGGAAATGAAGCTTTGTCATGAGATGGTTCGAAAATAAAATTAATTCTGCTACTTAGTTCCTTAATAATTTCCCTAAAATTACGAACAATTTCGATAAATGCAATGATTAATTTTTCTAAATTAAATTTGCTAAAATTATAACTAATTTTACTGAAATAACTATTAACTCTTCTAAATCAATCTTGCTAAAATAAATCTTTACAAACTTCAGCAAAACAATGATTAATTTTTCTGAATTAAATTTGCTAAAATTATAAGCATTGTAATTATAATTTCGAAGAATTAATTTTACCAAAATAACTACTAATTCTGCCAAATAAATCTTGCTAAAATAAGTCTTCCCTTTAACAAAACAGTAATTAATTTTTCTAAATTAAATTTTCTAAAACTACAACTAATTCCAAAGAATTAATTTTACCAAAATAACAACTGCTTCTGCCAAATAAATCTTGCTAAAATAAATCTCCCTTTAGCAAAACAGTAATTAATTTTTCTAAATTAAATTTGCTAAAACTACAACTGATTCCAAAGAATTAATTTTACTAAAATAACAACTGCTTCTGCCAAATAAATCTCTCCTTAGCAAAACAATGATTAATTTTTCCAAATTAATTTTGTTAAAATAATTCGATAAATTTTGCTAAAAGAGAAGATTATGAAATACTGTCAGTGAATGAATACAAAATAGATATCGCGTTGATTTAGTGGTCGATCGTGCAGTTTCCGTAAAGCTCCTCCTCGAATGCACGACATTATCGATAGGTCGATCGCGCGGAAATAATAAATAGATAGAAGGTACAATGTTCCGCGAGGCGGAATTCGCAGACGCGTCTAGAAAAATATAGATGTAGGACACACACGTACATACAGGATGCTTCAGAAATTTCGTTCGCAAAAGACAGATGCACGGGTAGTGTGATGCGATTCGTCGGCCCTCGTTCTCCACTTCTGATCGAAATTTTCTATGCGTTCGTATCTCTAATTTGGTTCCCGTCACGGTGTGAAATTGTTTCTTAACGTCGAGAGAGGTCGAGAACGAGGCCGTAATTAATTATTTTAATCGTTTCAACCAGCTATCGCTGGTAATTCTTTTCTTTTTCTCTCGGATCATCCGGTTTCTCGTCCGCGCACTTCGGAACTAAATAATGCTATCACTCGTTTCATTTTTAATTAAATTCTTACACATAACATTTAAGCTGTTCGAATAAAAGCGAACGCTAATCGCGTGTTCTCCAATTTTCTTTCCACAAAAGTTGGACATTATCGAAGTTACTTAATTTAACAACTTTATCGAAGTAACTTCTAAAATTGAACATTAAACTTCATTTATCTGTAGCAACGAAAGCTCTATTTACTCGGCATAAGGACTAATAAAGATCCGACGATTAAAAATAGACAACATTTCGATGTACCGGTATCGGCGAACAATTTCGTAAAAAAGTGATAGCAGCGGTTCGTGAATAAAAAAATACAGCGTCGATAGGCGAGAAACGTTTTCAGGGTGACACGGAGCTCCGAGGCTTCGAGAACTAATATATCGAAAGGTCACATCGATACACATCGGTCGACTGCTGCTATTTTTGGTGTAGCAATCGTTAGCCGCTACCGCCTAGGTGTCTTAATTACGCGATACACCAATGACATTAGAGGTGCGTTACAAAAATTCATCGTCGACTATCGCTAGCTACCTGCTGATCTTTCGCGGGGTTTCAAGGTAGAAGATCACGCAAAAGTTAACGCGACAACACATTAAACGATTCGGACGATGTAACTCGCTGTCGTGATGGGGTTTCCACCCCATGATCAATCACGGTCAAATAAACTAGAACACCGTCGATCATTTTGCTCACCGACAAACAATTTTTCATTTATTTTCGCAATTTCATTGTTTATGGATCGGGTTGAAATATTTAGAGGTTAGGTTAGGTTAGGTTAGAACACTTGGGGGTTTGAAAGTTTGAAAATTTGAGAGTCTGTGAATTTAACAATTTTGCGTTTTGGAAATTGGGAAATTTGAGAATTGGAGAATTTTGGTATTTCGAAATTTAGGGTATTTAGGGAATCCGGGGAATCTAGGGAATTTGGAGATTTGGGAATTTGAGGAATCTAGGGAATTTGGGGATTTGGGAAATCTAGAGAATTTGGGGATTTGGGGAATCTAGGAAATCTGGGGAATTTGAGGATTTCAGAATTTGGAAATTTAGGGATTCTAGGGAATCTAGGGAATTTGGAGATTTCCGAATTTGAGAATTTAGGGATTCTAGGGAATCTAGGAAATTTGGAGATTTGGGAAATTTAGAGAATTTAGGGATTTTGGGGAATCTGGGGAATTCGGAGGTTTTAGAATTTGGGAATTTAGGGGTTTTAGGGAATCTAGGGAACTTGGGGATTTCCGAATTTGGGAATTTGGGGATTTGGGGATTTGGAGATTTGGGAATTTGGGGATTTGGGAATCTAAGGAATTTGGGGATTTGGAGAATTTAGGGAATTTGGGAATTTGGGGAATCTAGAGAAATTAGGAAATTTGGGAATTTGAGAATTTAGGGGTTCTAGAGAATTTGGGAATTTGGAAAACAAGGGAATCTAGGGAATTTTGGAATTTGGAAATTGGAAATTTGGGAATTTTGGAATTTGGAAATTTGGAAATTTGGGAATTTTGGAATTTTGGAATGTTGAAATTTGGGAATTTGGGAATTTGGGAATTTGGAAATTTGGGAATTTTGGAAATTTTGGAATTTGGGAATTTGGGGATTTGGGAATTTGGGAATTTTGGAATTTGGAATTTGGAAATTTGGGAATTTGGGAATTTGGAGATTTGGGAATTTTGGAATTTTGGAATTTGGAAATTTGGGAAATTTGGGAATTTGGGAAATTTGGGAATTTGGGAAATTTGGGAATTTGGGAATTTGGGAATTTGGGAATTTGGGAATTTTGGAATTTTGGAATTTGGAAATTTGAGAATTTTGGAATTTTGGAATTTGGAAATTTTGGAATTTTGGAATTTGGAAATTTGGGAATTTAGCGATTTGGGGATTTGGGAATTTGGAAATTTGGAAAATAGAGAATTTAGCGATTTGGGGATTTGGGAATTTGGAAAATAGAGAATTTAGAAATTTCACCCTAGAAAATTTAACAATTTGGAAATTTGGAAAATAGAGAATTTAGAAATTTCACCCTAGAAAATTTAACAATTTGAAAATTTGGGAAATGTAGAAACTTGTAATCGGAAAATTTGGGACCCTAAAATTTGAAAATACAATTAGCAAACGTATTCTAAATTCTGTGAACCAAAAAAAGCTCATCGAGTGAAGTTGAGTGTCAGCGAGCAAAATGGACGGATAATGTAGAAAAAGGATGAATACGAAATCTATGAGGCTACGTTTTGAGGTTTCAAACATTCAAGTATCGTTGAGAAAAAACGATATACACTTCGCGTTTGACACAGGTACAAGTGCGCCGTCATCGATTTGCTCAACAGTGGAACATCTGCGCTTAAACGGTTTATCTTGTTCCTCCGGTATCCCGTGTAACTATTTTCATCGAAAACGCGTCTCCTCTTCGATATCTTTAACAATGAAAACCACGCGACACGTAAACCGTTTAAACGTACCACTGAAAAGTACTCAATGTAGAAACAACGAGTTACTTTTTTTCTAGCTACTCGACAATGCGAGAATTACTTAAGTGGTATATGTTCGATCGCAAAAATTTTCCTTTTTATGTAGTGTTCGTTTCGTGTTTACAAAATGTAGAACAGAAAGAGATGTTTTGGAAATAGTTTTCTTTGATAAAAATCTCTCTTTGATATCAAATCTCTTTGTGACATATTTCGCGAGTTTCTTCTTTACTTTTAGAGTTTTCAAATTCTTGAAATATTTAGCTTCAAATTTAACAATTTACGTATTTAGAAATTTTTAGGTTTATAAACGTTCATTGACAGAATTTTACCAACCACTCGAAGCAAAATATTGTTCCATTTTATGATTTTCGTGTTGGGTCATGTAACGAGAGCTGACCCGAAAATGATTCTCAACGGCGTACGAAAGTCGCTTAAAACGTATACGATTCCTAAAAATACGTCGACATTTAACGAAGAACATTCTTACACCGAACCACTTAAGTATTCTGTTTCGAGTAACGGTATAGTAGAAACAACTAGTTATTCCCTTACATTTGGATCCCTTCGCGGAATCGGCTTCTCTCGTCACGATATCGGAACACCGTCCAACCGATCGTGCAAGCGTTCCTCAAAAATTTCCGACAAATCTTCTCGTGAACCGTCGACCTTGTTTCCATTGCATTCTCCAGGACGATTGATGGAAAATTGAAAACGGGAACAGCGTCCTTCCGACCTCGTTTCTCGTTTCGAACTTTAAACGAGTTATCCCGTTACCTCCTTCCATCGAAACCGGGATCGTCAGGAACATCGTAACTCCTCGTATTTCTTCCCTCCATCTTTGTAATATTCATTTCCGCGTCGACCATTTTCTTTCTACCTTCCTTTCGAACTTTTACCTTCGTCATCTATTATATCAGTTATTTCGATAATTCTCGTTTTGAAGAATAAGTTAGCAAATTAGGAGGTTAGGAAATTTCACTACAGTTGAAGATTTCGGCATAATCAAGGTTTGCAAGTGAGAGTACTTTTAAGTGGTCGGATTTTAATTATTCACACGTTAAATTATATATAGATTGTTTCTAAAAAGGGGATGTTAAAAGTGGTCATAGCTCCTCCTGTTTACGAATTAAAATTCTTGAAAGACATTTGAGAACATCTCTAAGGAATTCTTCAAAGTAGTTTACGGATATTTCTAGCTTAACCAAAATGTTAGTAGTACTTCAAACTCGGTTTTAAATTTTGATTGGTTTATTATCAGACTCTCTGAATAATTATTATGGAGGTCCAGATAAATGGTTACTCCATATATACATATATTATAGTCTGAATTCAATGCTTCATGTCTGACTTCAATTTTATGATTTTTTTAACAGACTTCATACAGATGCTGACATCTTTTGTTGCTCGAATTCATTGCTTCATGTCTGACTTTAATTTTATGATTTTTTTAACATATCTCAAGTAGATGCTGACATTTTTTGTTGCTCGAATTTATTGCTTCATGTTTGACTTCAATTTTATGATTTTTTTAACACATCGCAAGTAGATGCTGACATCTTTTGTTGCTCGAATTCAATGCCTCATGTCTGACTTCAATTTTATAATTTTTTTAACAGACCTCATATAGATGCTAACATCTTTTGTTGCTCGAATTCATTGCTTCATGTTTAACTTCAATTTTATGATTTTTTTAACAGACTTCATATAGATGCTGACATCTTTTGTTGCTCGAATTCATCCCTTCATATTTGACTTCAATTTTATGATTTTTTTAACAGACTTCATATAGATGCTAACATCTTTTGTTGCTCGAAGTCATTGTTTCATGTTTGACTTCAATTTTATGATTTTTTTAACAGACTTCATATAGATGCTAACATCTTTTGTTGCTCGAATTCATTGCTTCATGTTTGACTTCAATTTTATGATTTTCTTAAACGATGTTCTTAAAAGATGTTCTTAAACGTCCAGCAAAAATATTTTTCTTCACAAGAGGACCCAAACCGACCTTCATCATCCTCCTTGATTCATATACTTCAACTTCTAAGTGTTTATGAAGACTGTTATAAAAAGACAGCTATCAAAACAAGGATAAGAGAATCTTCGAAATCACCAGTCTTTCCGAAACTCTCATAGCAAAACGCTATCATCCGCTATCATCCACATTCTCGGTTGGACAAAAACGATCAGTTCACATAGAGACGGTGTATCATTAATGCAGGCTGTTTCTCGTATTCCCGTTCGATATGCTTGAAGGTAAACACAGAGATCGAGCGACTTGGTCCAGTCGATGCAGACCCTGATGACACTCGGGTCACTTCTTAGATTTCGTAATTACGAAACTTGTTGACGATCTCGCTGGGTGCCTCGGAGTCCCAGCCAAGGTCACTGCGAGCACCGTAATAGATGTTCGCGCCACCTTCCGAAGCTCTTCTGTGAGCGTTCGGTGCTTGCATTTTTCCGTGACCCGGTGAACCTGCCGCCTCGCCGGAAGTGTCCTGCAGCATGCGATCCTTCGTCTTCGGTATACTCCAGTGCATCGACTATGTATCACAGGAGAAACACATGGAGAAATGAGGGAGAAGTAGACAATTTTCTTTAGACTAACAAAACATCCAGCCTCACAAGAACTACCTATATTAATAAATAGACAATTTGGTAGACTACAAACAATTTCTTTTAATCCTACAAGACTTCTATTCTTATAAAACCTGCACATATTAATAAATAGACAACTTGGTAGACTACAAACAATTTTCTTTAGTGTTACAAGACGTCTAGCCTCACAAGATCTACTCATATTAATAAATAGACAACTTGGTAGATTACAAACAATTTCCTTTAATCTTGCAAGACCTCTAGTCCTACAAGACCTACCCATATTAGTAAATAAAATAATTTAGTAGACTACAGACAATTTCCTTTAGTCTTGCTGGACCTCTAGCCTCACAAGACCCACCCATACTAATAAATAGACAACTTGATAGATTACAAACAATTTCCTTTAATATTACAAGACCTTTAGTCCTACAAGACCTACCCAAATTAGTAAATAAAATAATTTAGTAGACTACAGACAATTTCCTTTAGTCTTGCTGGACCTCTAGCCTCACAAGACCCACCTATACTAATAAATAGACAACTTGGTAGATTACAAACAATTTCCTTTAATCTTGTAAGACCTCTATCCTCACAAGACCCACCCATACTAGTAAATAAGAAAATTTAGTAGACTACAGACAATTTCCTTTAGTCTGACAAGACCTCTATTCTTACAAGACCCACCTAATGAATAAAAAATTTAGTAAACTAAAAATAATTTGCTTTAGTCTTACAAGACCTCTAATATTATGTTAAGACCTCTAACACCCACGTGATGTGATTCTAAGAGATCAGACCTCTCCCAAAAGCGACCCAATATAATTTCAGAATCTTAGCAAGGAATTTCTCGCACTGTTCACCACAGTAGTCCTGCGGTATCGAATTCCACAGAAATTTTCACGGTGTTTACTCACTTGGTGCACGTGATCCTTCATTCCAAGCCACTGCTTGTAGCTGATAGCGATGCCGCTACGCCTCCATTTATCGTAGTTGCTTCTTTGCTCAGGGTCGCAGAGAACCTCTTTCGCGTGCTACCATGAAAAAGAAACCGCGATACGATCACCGTACGATCATTGATAGAACATTCGATCGTAATGACAAGGCAAACTGGATATAAAAAGCGGAGCGACTTCCCGATGACTCAACTCGATCAAGTACACTACAACGAATAAACGAACCTTCAGCTGCTGAAATTTCCTTTCAGCGTCCTTGTCGCCTTCGTTTTTGTCGGGGTGGTATTGAAGAGCTAGGACCTTGTATTCTGCCGTTATTTGTTCTACCTGCAACATTGAAGCGTTCTTTATTATTATTTTAATTCTATGAGTAGGTTGGGTTAGGTTAGGTTTATAACCTGTAGACTGTTGGTTGTCTACGTGTTTAATTTTATAAGTGATTTTTGTTTGCAAGATTTTTGTTTTTGTTTGCAATTTTGTTTTTGGTTGCAAGTTTAATTTGGATGCTTCACAATTTTTTACAAGATTATAGAATTTTGCTAGATTGTAGCTGTAGTCTCTGTTAGATGAAATTATACTATTCACAAATATTTTTTTTAATGGCTATAGCTTTCTCTCATCAGTTTCTCCTTCTGTCATTTCATCCCTTCATCAAATTAATTTATTATAGTACTTTAGTACTGTATTATAAAATTATACGATTAAGAGAAAATATGCTTAACCTCTGAAGTAAAATTGTTAGAAAGAAAGTGCCAACGTCTTCTTGACCCACTCTACACATTTTCCTTCCATTAATTTTCTTGTCGAGTTAACCCGTTGAGCCACAGTAAAAATAGCCATATCTGGCACAGCTTATAATAGTACGCTTACTGCATCTATAGCAATATTTATTACATATTTTTCATTCTGAAAGGTCCAAGTATTTTCAAGGTTTCTATTTTATTGTCAAAGAAGTACTATTTTATTCCTTGTTAATAATATTCAATAAAGAACTTATAAAAAATTATAAAATGTCAATAAACCAATTTCAATAAAAAATAAAATTCATTTAATTCAGCAAATGTACATTTGTACAAATCTATACAATATGTACAGACTGTAAATAGATTTGTCGGTGTTCACGCAGAAAATGAAGTTATTCATTCATGAAAGTGACAAGCAGATTACATCGTGCCACACAACAGAGGTTCCCAAAATTGCTTTCTAGCGTGTCAACCCCTTTCAAAATTGAGTACATTTATGTTACCCTTCTGTATCGTTCTATCCCTATGGTCGTCCAGCATCCGTAAGGACCATATAAATCTTTGCCACCCTCAGGGATTGCCGCTATAACAGGCTGATCTTTATTTCAACCAAATACACAATAACATTTTTATCTGTGGATACCTATATTTACTCTACGATGCCTTAGGGTCGTACTATAATGTGATTTCTCGATTGTTTTCGACCCGTGAACAGTGGCTTTCCGAACAGATTCTTCGGTAGTGAAAACACGGGGGATGGAGAAAGGTTGCTGATTCGATAAGTTTTGCTACTACGCGTAGAATATGTACGCGTTAGATTACTACGCGTTGGATATCCACATGCTCGATTACTACGCGTTAGATTACCACGCATTAGATTCCTACGCTTAGAATTACCACGCGTTGCGTTATTATGCGTTGGATTACC